GATTGCACAACCAAGTGTGGTAGATCAGCATCGCTCTATCGCTAGATCGTCCCATCGTGCGATCGTGCGATCGCAAAGCCATTCTGTATCTACCATACTCGGTTGCGCGATCGGACAATCGGTTGATTGTATGGCGTGGCAACCGAGTTTATGGTAGATACCCCCGATCTAACTAGAAATGGGGCCTCAAACAAAGAAAATCAAATGGTAGCAAGAAATGACTCTAGAGCTTGAAAGCAGCAATGCCTAGTTTATCGTATTGCTTTTGCAAACGTTTTACTAACCTCGGCCTTGCAATACTGGTGGTGATACCGTACTGAGTTCCGGTTTTGATGGGCGTGCTCGAACTGGGCTGCTCTATAGCAGGACCAATAACTGGACGAATTTTTTCCTGCGTTGGGTTCTGCTGGTACTGCGACTGAATTTGCTGACCACTGCTCGCCTGTACTGTCCAACTATTCCCTAGAAAATCAGTGCCTCATTACAACTCTTATTGTTAGAAATACTATCTATGGGAAATGTGTTATGGAAAAAAATCATCAATCCGTTTGTTGAAAAAAAATAAACGAAACGATCAATAAAACAAAAGATTAAATAAATAGTAACCAAAAACTACCTCGCAGAATGCTACTTGCATAAGTGGCTGGGCAAACTTTCACTGGGTATTCTGTACGACCTTGTGGATTGACTGCTCCTCGTGAGACCACAAGTTCATGAGACTGGCTCGGCCTTTTCGATGCTCTCAACATATTGTTTACTTCATCATAAGCGGACATTGGGCTGAAATAAGGAGGAAAATTCATTTAAAAAAGGCAACAAAATTAACACTAACTTGCACTACTTTTACTCAACATTCATAGAACATCACCTGCTTAAAACTAGTCTCAATTACACATCTATAGTAGAAAAGGACAATATACATATAGGATAGAAAAAGGAAGGAAAAAATGACGCACAGATAAAAAAATGGAAAACCTGAAAACCATAACAAATAATTAACCTTTGGAGAAACTGCACCGAATCGACATCAGCATTTCGACTGGGAATCATCCTCGTCGCTTCTTGCTTAGCAACTCTCAGCTGAGCATTTCCGTCAGTGGTTGCAAGCATTCCACAGTCTACAGGAATACATACATTGTTAATGTTTTGTTTGAAAAAAATTATAACGCAAGTATATTACAACGCACTCAAATTATAAAACAAAAATCTCCAACAGACGTAACACTAGCAAGCACTTCAAATTACGCGAATACGAGAAATAAACCGAAATAAAAAAAATGTTGAATTAAAGAGTAAAGTAGCTTGAGAAAAATTCTCCAACTTGTAAGACGTGTTAATCATTTGTATTTGGAAACTTTGCTGACGTCTAATTCATGAAAGGCAGATGTAAATTGTTTTCAGGACTCCAACGAAATTCTCTCAGCTAAAGATAAGACTTTAGCTAGCATTTTACGATCAAAAATCAGTTGGCATAAAAGCATTGAACAGAATGTAAGCATATCGAACGGAAAATGTTGGTGAATTGAATACAGAGTGATAAGTCCAAGAAAAAGAAGAAATTAGCCGTCTTATTCGGCGTTCGTGCTGTGCCGATTCAACTATGCTTTTGAAAAACAATTCGTAGCAAAAAGTTCTGCTCTTTTCAATGGCCTCACTAATTTGTCCGATTTCCTTCGCTAAATGACCGCCGTATTTACCTTGTCTGCCCGCGGCGGGACCATATCAGCTTCCAAAGAGGAAAGCGTCATAAATTTATAAGAATTGGGAGCCACTGCATATCTTCATATGCATTCTTAACTGCCTTCTGGGGTAAAAAAAATATATTAGAAAGATATGACATGAAGGAGAGCGATCTAATGCAACCAAAATCGATTTTAGGTTGCAGCCACAGTTGGCAAACAACCACGTGTGGTAGATCCGCATCGCTCTATCGCTAGATCGTCCCATCGTGCGATCGCAAAGCCATTCTGTATCTACCATACTCGGTTGCGCGATCGGACAATCGGTTGATTGTATGGCGTGGCAACCGAGTTTATGGTAGATACCCCCGATCAAAGTAGAAATGGGACCTCAAACAAAGAAAATCAAATGGTAGCAAGAAATGAC